GGCGGGTAGTCCCAAGCGGGCAAGATAGCTCCATCTTGCCCGCTACGGTAGCCAATCACAACACAGGATTTGATTCATCTTGCCCCGCTCACGGGGCTTGCCTGCTCAGGTGGCCAATCACAGCACAGGATTTGGTTCATCTTGCCTGCTCAAGGAGCTAGCCATATAATAAAACAGCCTGTTATCAGCTGAATTGGCTTGCTGGTTTGTTTATTTTCTGAATGGCATACAATGTAAATACAAGCCATCACTGACTCTAACTTACCTTTTTGCAATTTGCAAGCATGTTGTTCCTTGCTGAGGACTTTTGTCTGTGAGCCTAAAAAAAAAACAGCAAACAAATTATGATGTTAACTACAACAATGACAAGGATGGCAGGGCGTACTTGTTCAAAGGGTGAATAAAGCTATCCACCAGATAAATCACTTACCAGTAGGTAAGCATTGGCAAAACAAACCATGCTATCTCCACTAGACAGTCATTTATCTGGTGAACAGCATTATCTGGTGAACAGCATTATCCCTCCTCTGAAAAACTGAGTCCAGGACTACAAATTTACAATATTCAGTTGACTTTTCGAAATTTGAAACCAAGAATCGAGGTGGCTCTGGATTAATGAATGCATTAATCATTGTTTAGGCAGAACGCTTCAGGCATTTTGACTGCAACCAGGTCAAAAAAATCCCATACCCTTGGTATCTCTTTCCTGACTATTAAAGCCCAAAGTTTCCTTCTCTTGACATCTGCCTCCTTGCGACGTATAAGAGTTTTCTTGATTATCCTCTCCTCTAATGTTAACTGTCTCTGATCGTCATCCTAAAAATACAGGAATTTCTAAAGTTAGCAGAGTGACACTCAGGGTATTAAGAAACTCATTGGTTTAAACTAAAAACAACTAAAGAACAATACTAGATGATTAAAGATTTTCGTTATCTAGCATTCTGTATTTTTCTTTTGAGAAAACAGCCAACAGAAAAAGGCATCAAACAGATTTTTATTTGAACTAGTTTGGCTTTCACAATTCATGAGATATGTACCCTCATCATTAGAAATCTAATATCATGGGTGACAAAATAATTGTTTCTCAGTTTTGGCACAAAATTATAGAAACAATTTATAGTTTCACACGTGAAATAACAAAATTGCTATGGCAACATTTGGCATGAAATCAAATGGTTTACTTGTGAAATTAAGAAATAATTTCACCTGTGTTTGTCAAACATTCTAACAATTTCCTTTTCCTAAAGGCTCTGAAAATTATTAGAATTTTGCCAAAAGTGCACAAGAAATAATGTCCTAATATCACTTGTCACCATTTGATTACCCATAAAAATTTTGATGCAGGTTCAGTTGTTAGAAATAAGCTCATGCTTACCAGATCATCAGACTTTCTCTTTTTCTTCTTCACTTTAATCTTGTCTTTCTCTTTCTTGTCCTTGGAAAGCTTCACCTTACCTACAACACACATTATTGGTGCACAAAATTACCTACCATTACAACAAGAACTTCTTTAGTCAAAGTAATTCATTGGATTAAAAACACGAGCACCATACAAAGATTGTTCAGTAAATCAAGAATTAATTGGGGATCACAGGGTCTTTCGAGTATGAGCATTCCCAAGTCACGCACTTTTACAAATCGTGATAAAAGCTTGACTGACAACTACAGTACTTGACTTATATACAAAGCTACCAACTTAATTTGTCTAACAAAGACAGATTGAAACTTACTACAACTGACCAATGACTGTTGACAAACTTTGCAGAATTCTTACAGCCAATTGTACCATTATGGCTTAACTTACCAATAATTTTCAATGGACTGGACTTATAACACCTCAAACTGAAAAACACTTTTCACTTGACTCTGAAGATGACTTCCAATCAGATTGTCAAAAATATATAATAAAGAACCTAAGCTATACAACAGGCTACTTAAGCTCTCCAGCTCAAACTTTATTATAAATTATTTTTATATATAAGAACGATTTTCATCTTTCAGGCTGAATGTGTTCTTATGTATATGG